TTTACAATAACTGTCTAATTTCTCGCGCGCTGATTGGCTCATTTTTATCATCAATAAGAGTACAGACGGACAAAATTAATTTATGCAAGCTTTCAAGTTTCAAGCTGTCAAACTGTCAACTTTTTAACCAATGAGATTTTATGAACTTTTTTAAGTAGCCAATCAAAAAGCGAGGAAAGCTATTGACAATGTTCGCATCATTTTGAATAAAATTCACTTATATTTGTTTACGCTTTACGGCAAGTTTACGGCGTCTTTTCCCCTTGTTTATTCCCGGCATGTGACCTTTTTTGGGGTCTTGCTATTGTAAAAAACAAATTGACGTCAGTTTTTTATGCATCTGTCCTCTTATTGATGATAAATTTCGTCATAAAATTGTCAAATTTTACTGCGGAACCACTCGCCTGCGGCTGGTGGTTCCACAGCCAGGACAGACCCATAAAAACTGACGTCAATTTGTTAACTTTACGTGCTTACGATTTCTCATGACGTGGAAACCAGCGCAAACGAGATGTCGAGTTTTTGTGACATGACTAGGACAATTATTTATTACACGACTTTGAATCGCCTTTTTACCGTGGGAACATTACAGCTATATTTCATTGGCTGTATTTTGATTGCATTTGTTGGCACGATTTATAGTAGAGACGGATCATCCGTCAAGACGAATCATACGGAACGATTTTCAAGAGGAACTATCGATTCATCGGTGTGTCTCATAGTTCGTCCCGTATTTATACTAGGCAAGTCCTAGACGGATTTCCGGCAAAGCGCGACGAAAAGGCTTGGGCACTAGTCGTTAAGTCGAATCAACATTGGCGCCAATGGACTGTTTTGCTGCTTGCCTTTGGACTAGCTTTTTTCTCGTTCGTTCTCTTGTTTAAACTCGTCGGACGAAAGTAGTATTGCTTTCTTTCGTCAGCTAGAACAAGCGCAAGGTATTTAAGCTCTATTTCCGTCCACATGCGTTCTTTCTTGAACTTTTTTGACTTGTCCGAACACCCAGCTGACTTTTCCGCCAACTTAAAATTTGTAGTTTATTGAAAATAAGCGCTGGCTCCATGTACCGGGATGTAAGTTTCGTGGATAGTTCGTCTTTCGCCCGTATTTATAGACACAGACGGATCATCGGTCCAGACGGATTATCAACGAAAGTTCGTGGGTCAAAACGAACCGCAACTATAATTTGTCTGGACTGATGATCTGTCTGCTTACCCGTATTTACTATCGGCCGAACTATTGTTCTTTGCCCAAGTTCATCCAAGACGGATGATCCGTCTCTAGTATAATGATTGGTTATAGTCTCGACACTACCTCAGTCTTTATCCGGTTG